GAAAAAAAAAATGAATTGAAGAAGGATACGAGTTTGTACTTAATGATATTGCAGCAATGTTTCATACCATTTAATATATGACAATGTTTTATACCTCATGTTGTCTTCTATAAACCAAGCCAATATATATATATATACATATACATATTATATCTCACTGTATTAGTCAATGAAAATCAAATTGAGGTGTCATGTAAATTTGTCTTAAGACCACCAAATAATTTTCCCAATAACATACTACATTGATGTGTTAGCCAAAAAACATAACTTAGAGGTCAAGTTTAAAATTGAACCAAAATGGCTTTAGAATTACGCATCGCAAAATAATGTAATTTTACTTCACTTTTAAACGTCGACCATTGAGTCATCACAACAACAGCACAACATAAAAAAAAAAAAAAGTATTTTCCCTTTCAGATGATCAAAACATTTTTTCAATTATTAAAGTGATCCACATACACATTGTACAGTACACATTGGCCTCGTTTGAAAAGTTGGCTATTTTAATTTTTGACTATTTTAATAGACTTAAATTTTTATATTTGGAAAGATGGTTGGATTTTTTTTAGTTGAATGTAATATTTGTGAGAGAAAAAGTAAAATGATTATAGATTTTATATAACATTTTATCTTATTGACTATTTTAACCTATTTTAATTTTTTGTAGATTTTAACCAAAAAAAAAAATCAAAAATTCACTTCCCAAACACGGCCAGTGTATTTTGTGTTCATAGTGAGGAATGGCTTATATGGTTTGTTCCTAGTTGGCAAGTAAGAGCATCTCCAATGCACTAGGCATATAATACTTGTTAGTTAAAATGCCTAGTGTGATTCACTTTTTTCAATTCCAATGCACTAGGCATATGATTAGGTATTTTGCCTCAACTCATATTCACTAGCTACATATAGCTAGCCTTCAATGCTAGGCAAAATGTATTCAATCATTAGGATCATTTCCCTCCATCTTTGTTGTTGACGTGTCATTCTATAAAATTAATAGTATTTGGATAAATAGCTAAAATACAGAGCATGATTGGAGTAAAAACATAAAACAGTCGATAGGCAAAATAAAATATATACTTTATAGTAATATTTAGATAGGTAAAATGCCTATTACCGTTGGAGATGCTCTAATAACTATTAACATAATCTATTGGGTCGTGCTACAATATTAATTATATGCTATGTATAAAAAATAAGTGTTATAATATATATTTATATTTAGCGTAGCATGGGTTATATTTATAATGAATTTAATTATCACACTTCATTATCTAAAAAAAAAAAATTGTGTACTTTTTTTTTTTTTTGGAGGTGTGTAGCATTGCTGTAAAAACTAATGACTAGTTCCAAAACAAGGACAATTCTTCTACATAAAGTTAGTGTTATTTAGCTAGTGAAAAATGTCCCTCAAAACTTGATAATATTTTAGTAATTATCCCATCTTTCAAAAATTTTATGTTGAGTATGTGCCGAATCAATAATACGGGAGTAAAGGAATATGTGATCCTAAAAATGAGATTTAACTTTTTTATCTTATTAATCCAACAATATTTTCACTGTTGTAACATTACATTTTTCATCAGCTAAGGTATAATCCACATAATATCATTGTTATACTCCAATGGCCTGTTTATTTTGGGTTATAGGAGATTGAATTGGATTATGATAGATGTGAGACTGACTAAAATAGTGTTTATTGGTAAAATTGGGAAGGGGATTTAGGTTTTTGGAGGAAGGGATTAGCAAAGGCCTCAAACGGGTTTCGTTTCAAAACTAGTGTGAATGTTAGTTTGAAAAAAAATACTATTTAGTGTGTTTAGTTTTAGTTTTTTAAATTCTGTTTTCTGAAAATTAAATATTTTATTTTGTGTTTTTTTTGTTTTTAGTGAATATTTTTAAAATTTTAAGTAATTTTTTTTTTATTTTTTTAGATGTACATTACTTAGATATATTTAAATAGTAAAATATTTATGAAAAAAATATTTTAAAAAATTAATAATATACAAAAGTAAAAAAAAATGTACTGAATTTTTTTTAAAAAAAATATTTTTGGTATTTAGTGAATTTTTTAAAGATTTTTTTTCACAAATATTATATTTTTTATGGTAGGTGTGTCTAAAAATTAAAAAAAATATTTAAAATATGAAGAAAAAAATCTGTGAAAACAAAAAATACAAAAAAAGAAATTTTTTTTTTGAAAAGTAAATTTTGAAAACTGAAAAACAAAATAGAGCAATTTTTGCTCATGTTGTGTGTTTGTGTGTATTTTATTTATTTTTTATTTTTTTTGGTATTATGTCATTCTCTATATATATAGGCGCTGTTTGGGAAGCACAAAATAAGGCTATTATAGCCTATTTTGACAAATTAGCCTAAAAGCAACACTGTTGCAACCTTTTTCAAAAAAAAAAAAAAAAAAAAAAAAAAAAAAAAAAAAAAAGCAACACTGTTGAAATCTTTTCAAAAAAAAAAAAAAAAATTTCTGCACAGCCGGCAGTGTAGGCTGTGCCTACACTGTCAGCTACAACCTTTGTCCCATCAATAAATAAATTACCATTTTACCCCTTGATATCAATTTAAAAAAATATATTTTTAGGGATAAATTTGTCATTTTAAATTTAAACATCATTTCAACACACTTTTCAATACAATAACTCAACTAAAAAATCATCTCATCTTCCCAAACACAAAAACTAAAATAGCCACTAAAATAGCCAAATAACCTACTAAAATAGCCACTTCCCAAACGAGGCCATAATATTAAAATCATATAGAACAAAAAAATATTTATAAAATATAATTTTAAATTTTAAAATATATCAAAAATACCAAATAGTAGTTATGGTACTTCATATTGATAATCCTCTCACAAAAATATATTACAAACATACAAATTCTTTTATAATTCAGTCACTAATAATTTCTATATTAACAATTTTATCTAACTTAATTCCGAAAACAAACGGATTTAGGAGTTGTTTGTGATAATCTAAATAAGTGCACTTTTTAACTTTTTAAGAAAAAATATGAAATATGGATTGAATTTGAAGTGATGTGGTAGAAAAATAATGTGATTTAAATAAGATAATGTGATTTAAATAAAATACTAACTTTTTAATTTTATTAAACTATGCCAAATTAAACGTTAATATCTATCCAAAAAATTTCAGCTCAACTTTTATCTTTATTTTATATTTTTGCAGTGTCTAACAGTAACTAGACAGTATACGGAAAGCATATAATTCAGTAAAGCATTGCATAGTATAAGTGGACCATTAATGATGGGGCATATATTTCATTGATTTCAGTACGTGCAACACCGGTTACTTTGACTTTTATGTAGTTTTAAAATGATACAACAATTATTGTAGTAGTATTTAATTTTAGTTTTACACTTCAACAAAATAATAATAATAATTAATTTCACTTTTTTTTTGAATAAATGGCCATAAAATTTCAAAAAATTCTCCTACCTACACAATACATACAGTATGTAATTTTATTATAAAATTATATAAATTTACATAAATAATCTCACAAAAATACATAAATTGAACATAAATTTAGATAAAAATTTGTATTTGTTGTCAACTTACGCATTCTTATGAAATCACTTATGTAAATTAATAACAAAAACTTATATAATTTTGTGATAAAATTACATAAATATACATTACATATCAGAATATTTCCCAAAAATTTCTCATACCACTTCCCTATTGAAAATGAGAGAAAAGCATAGATGCCCCATATGCACCATCTTCTCTATACAAAAATATTTTGGTTTCTATTGATAGAAATTTTGAAATACAAATAATTTTGAAGTATAATTATATGGTTGAAAGTGCATTGAGATAAAAAATAAATAAATAAATAAAGAAAAAGAAAAAAGAAATGAATAAATAAATAATGAAGATCATTTTCAGTGATATGCTAAAACACTTACTAAAACTAAAATTTGATAAGTTTTTTGGCCTGCCATGTTTGGTTTCATTTTCTAAAACTATTTTCAATTTTTTCTAAAAAAAAATAGAAATTAATTTGATAAAAATAAATATTAAAAAGATAATTTTAAAATTTTAAATTATTTTTACTTTCCTAAAAAATAAAATTATATTAAAATGATAAATATTTTTTATTTTTTATATTTTTTCACCAATTTAATTTTAATTTTTTGTAAAAAAAATCTAAAAACAAATTATTACATCCAAACCAAACATAGCCTCTTTCTTTTATACTACTCACAAATATTATAAATATTATTTTCATATAACATTTTGTGAAAAAAAAAATATATATATATATACACACACATTAAAGACAGCAGTAACACTAAATACCTAAAATTTTTACTAAGTATTTTACTTAAAAATATGAATATTAATACACACGAATCCACAACTTATCATTTTAATTTCAGCCGCATGTTAAAATTCTAGACAAAACGTTGGTCTTCTTTTCTAGGAACTTAGACTTGTTAAAACATGATCGTTAAATTCTACTAGTAACATTGATAGTATAGCATGTCAAACTTTCCCTTAGACATTATCAATTTAGCATAAACAACTTGAGATCGCTCATAATTACCAATTCATCAAACTTTAATTAATAATTCAAGGATAAATAATAGTAAGCGTTTTTTTTTTTCTTTCTTTCTTTCTTCTATAGATTGAAATAGGGAATTTTAAGAAGATAATCAATGACGAAAGAGGTCAAGACAAAAACTTTAAAATTAAAAAAAAATAAAACAAAATAAAACAAAATTAGAAATAGAAAACAGAAACATATAGACGACCAAGTTCCAGATAATTGGAATAGTGGTTGAAAATAATTCTTTCACAATAATATATTATCACCAAAAACTAAACAAAAAATATCCAAACTCAATTACATTATAACACCACAAAAAATATATATAACAAAAACAAAAAATTATGATTTTAAACACCACTATTATGCCATTTATGATATTTAACTCCATATATGTCAAGCCTCCATTTTTTGTGGAGGTTCTCTATCTAGTTGAAGATCAGAATGTCCATTTCCAGATCCTGATGAGAAGATGAACCTTACATTTAGCATCAGAAGTAGAAGCAATTGATGGAGACTTACCCTTTGGAACAACACCATGAATTCCATCACAAGTAACTCTGATCCCCACTTTCTTACTCTTCAATTTCTCTATCTTCACCACCACTTTCATTTCCATCACTACTTTCAATGGCAAACCATTCTTCTTCTTCAGATCCAATCTCAGCGAATTCACCGAATCCGCATCGACGATTTGCGAGTTACCCGATAGAACAGAGTGAATAATAGTAATGTTTTTGGGATAACTCGCGAAATTTTGAAACAACCCATTTGCAATTTGGAGCTGATTTGATAGGGATGTGATGGAAATGGGGTCGTAGAAGAATATGAGCTTTTTGTTGGGGTTTTTGGCGAAGATTGTGAGGTTGAGGGTGGTGGTGAGTTGGGTTGTGCCGTCGGAGGCGGCGGTGGAGAGGTTGAACTGGGAGATTTTGAGGGTGGTGATGGAGAATGAGGGGCGGTGGGGGGTGTAGAGGAGGTAGATTACGCAGCCGGCGATGGCGGCGAGGAGGAGGAGGAGGAGGACGAAAAGGGTGGACCAGAAGCAGCAGCGGCAGATGCAGCTCCGCCGGCTGCGGCGGCGACGGTTGGGTTGCGGTTGGGGGCGGTATGGGTGGCGCGTGGGGTTGTAGGGCTGGGTTTTGGGTGATGGGTTGGTGGTGGTGATGCCTCCGGCGGCGGTGGTTGTGCCGTTGGGCTTAGCTGATGGGTAGACTCTGTCTGTCATTTTGTTCAATCTTGGAGGTTATATTTGGCAAAAAACAAAAATATATAAAACCAAAACAAAGAGCTGAAAGTGTTTTTGGAAAAGCAGAATGGTGAAAGAAAAGTAGAGAGAAACAAATCTGGACTCACTTCTATCTCTCTCTCTCTGCAATTTGTATTGTGTGGTTTTTTACTCTCTCTAGAATGTAAATGATGAGTGGAGTGGTGAGTTGGTCCGAAGCACGTAGGGTAGTTGGTATTTGTGTTGGTGTTTGACACGTTTTAAAAAGCTCCAAAAACACTCAAGTGTGCACTGGGATTCTTCTACAGAGGTGATGAATGTGGGATACGTTTTATGCAACGTAAGGGTTTTTGACATGGTAGTTAAAAAGTTGATTTTTAAATTTTAATTTATTTTAAATTATATTATTTTTTATATTTTTTATTTATAAAAAGATTTTAAAAAAAAAGTTAAAAAAATTCAAAGATCAATTTTTAATTAACTTCTCGAATCACCTCATATTATGAATTGATATAATTTTATTATAAATTTTAATTTCGTTAAAATAGAAAGTATCAAGTTATAAATTTTTATAACATTTTTTTTTTATTGGAAGAAATATTTCATTAAGAAAGCCAAACGGCACTTACAAGAGTCCGTTCAAACTAAAACTTACACCAAACAAAGTGTAAATAAAGTAAGAAACACTAAGGAAGAAACCTATGAAAATATTCAAACGCACATATTGTACTCATGCTCATACTGCGAAACAGAGCCGATTAAAGACGTTTGGCAATAGAGCATATCCGAGATGAATCATAGATTCCAACTACAATAAGGGTAAGCTTAACAAACCCGCACAGATGGACTCTAAGAGAACCAAATAGACCCAAAACCAACACACAAACCGTAGGAAAAGAAAAACAAAAGAAAAAAACATAGAACTAAAACCAAACAAACAAAACAAAACAGATCCACCACCAAAACAAATTCGGCAGTGGCGTTAGCGAATCCGGCGATGGAGTAGAACGGCAAGGAAGAAGCGGCGGAGAAGAGCAGGGGAAGCGGAGAAGAGGAGGTGAAGGTGGCGGGGAAGGCGAATCTAGTGGCGGCGAATCAAGCGATGAAGAAGATGGTGGGAAAGAGGCGGTGAAGGCGGTGGGGAAGGTGCGGATCCGAGAAGGCCACTCCCAGAGTGAATGGATGGGAGAAAAACACCTCACAAAGGAGGGAGAGAATGGAAAGCCAAAGCTTCCAAGTTATGGGAAAACAAAGTAAGGAAAGGAAAGAGCAAAAGAGGGGTAAGGGGAGAGGAGAGGAGGCCAAAGATTGCCGGAAACCCCTCCTACACCACCGGCAGCCACAAACTTTGAAAATCCTAGGGAGAGAAAAGTTTAGAGAGAGAAGCTCTCCAAACTAGGTGCTCACATGCCCATTTTTTATAACATTAACTACAAAATTTTAGACATTTTATTACGAGAATTTATGATAAAATTATGTATTTTATGATTGATGTTACGAAATTTTATAATAAGTTATGTCAATCTGTGAGATGCTTATGGTGTGCGTCCCTAATGAAGTGCACATCATAAAATTTCTGTGGTTTGGAATCATAATTTTAATTTGGAAAATATATTGTCGAAATTTTAAAACTATATTATTGATGTTAGTAGAAGTAATTTAATAAAATATTGTTAAATCTTTATGGGTTGACCCCTTAATTGAAATGTTTAAGATTTCAAAGTAAAAGAAATCATTTAATTAGTATATGTACGAGCACGAAATAGTCTTCTCGTATAATTTTATTGATCAAGTTTGCACTTCTCCAAACAACGTTGCTTTGCCACTTGAAAACACAAACATGAGCTAACCGGCGGGTGTGTGTCGGAAACTCCTCCGATGCCTAAGTCAGCAACTAGACAATAAACAATAAACTCTGTGTATTCTAGAGTAAGAATTGGGATAACTATACATAAGTCCTGTTATGAGCTTTTATAGATTCTGCCTTCCTCAATCCTAGTAGAATTTCAACTGTCTTTATAAGAGTCCTTCTAAGAATCACACACCCTACTCACTACCAACCAAGTGAGATGGTTTGCACAATCCTAGCAGGACTCTACTCTCCTTAGCAGAGTCCTTATAGGAATTACATTCCCAAGAATAATGCATATTCTGATAACTCCTTACTCACTGCTTGTCTAAGTGAGATAGCTGCAACTCTTACTCTGGCTAGCACAAGACATAACTGTGCTTACACAGCTCGGTGCTAATTAAGTTAATTTAGTCAACCTAGTCTTTGGAATGACCACCTGCCGAGCTATCTTTTAGCTCGGTCCGATTTCCATAGATACCTCGGTCTACGACTGTTAGACCAGGCCACTGATAGCCCACTTTTAACCAAACTAATGCGACCAAGGACCAAGGACCAAGGCTACCGAGATAATTACCTCGGTCCATGGCTTGGCCCAAGACTATATCTATCTCGATCTATTCCAACGGACTTACTTAACTCGGCCCAATTTATGCATAAATTACTCTCTCAGTATAGATTAGCGTCATGTATAATGTTAATTTAAGTGATGCTCATATATAATTAATTACTCTAGTATTATCATATGGTAAAACCTATAAAATTTGAAGAATGTTATAAAAATAAGTTAGGTCTTACTGTGTCATTAGTAATTTCTTTTCTTTTCTTCTTCTTCTTCTTCTTTTCTTTTTTTTTTTTTGATTTTTTTTTTTTTTTTTTTTTTTTTTTTGGATGAAAAGAAATTATACACAATTTTCAATTGATGACAAGGTCGAGCGAGACTAGGGTTGAGCATGTTGTAGACCTTGAACTTCTTCTACCTAAACCTGTGAGAATGATGGGTAAAGTTGGATGGTAGCTATAGTGTGGAAATTTAATCACTGACTTGCTTAGCCAGGAATTAAATGATAATATCACATCTTTGGAAGTAACTTGGGCTAAGTAGTTGAATTTTATACCAACAAATTTTTTTGCTTGAAAAGGCAAATAACGAGTAAATATTAAAATGTAACAATGACATGGTCAGTTTAAGGGATTGTAAATGAAGTATTTATTTTAGACCTTGATATAACAAAAGATCTCCAGGTAAAATAAACAAATTAAAAAAAATGAAGAATGTCAGTAGCTTTTCTAAATTAAAATAAGATTATCAAATTTTTTATCAACTTTTTATATTGGTTCCACACCCATATGAGACCACATTCAAATATGTAATTGGTAAAAAAAATTAGTAATTTAGTAGAGATCCCCTGTCATTTGTATACTAGTAAAAGTTTATTTCCCACTCTCTCACTCACAAATTAAGAAAATAAGATTTACTTAAAATCAAATATTCTTATAAATAATTTCATTCAGTAGATATTAATTTTACTAAATTTAACTTGTAAATTTTTTTTTTAATTTTTTCATGCACATGACATTTTTAACTAAAAATAAATTTTTTTGACAAGACACATAAACACGACATAATGATATAAAATAATAAATGGATTTGATTAGAGCATCTCCAGTCCTTTACCAAATCTTGCATCAAATTTAAATTTGATAAAAATTTTAGTATCTTTCATCAAACTTGTATTCTTTCATCTCTAATAAAGTTTATTTCAATATAATCTTGACTTGAGAAAGAAAACAAAACAATACAAAAACAACCTAATTTTAACATTTTGCTTTAGACCACACATATGGTTGAGCCGTCCCTGAATGATAATATCACGTAACTGTATTACCATTCAATGAGTATAATTAATTTGCGATAAGATCATAATATTATTGGGTTAATGAAAAATAAAATTAACCATTTAATGCATTTATAGTTTAAAATTTACTGGTAACAGGGTGACATTGTTAAGCTCAATATTTTTTTTTGCAAATGATGCCCCATTGACGACTTTTAGGCCTTCATTAGGTTTTAAGCTTTGTGAAGCTACTGAATAATTAGCCAACAGATCGTTGGCATCCATGAATATTTATTGAGTCTTTTACTTCTAACTATTTAATAAAAGTGGATTAGTATGCTCTACTCATAAAAATTTTTAACCACATGATTGATATATAGTACCATTTAGATACTCTGAAATTACAAAATAATTATCTTACCGACAATTAAATTGATAGTGCTCTTCTCATGGTTACAAGTTAAAATGATAGAAAGAGATAATTAACCGCCCAACTTTTTATCATACGATATTGTTATTTGTAATAACAATGTCATACAACATATCATTATTTGTAGATAATCTATCAATTTATTTGTAATAAAGTTTGTAAAATTATTTTAGTAGTGTAACATTTTCTGGCTTTTAATTACAAAATGTCGCCATTATATCACTCTGAATATATATATTGAAAAAACAAATTTGTAGAAAAAAATAGCAATTTGCTCAATTCAATTGGAAGCATAAAATCTTATTTTCAAAGCATTTTCTCAGTCTAAATACAAAACACTAGAACCGGCATAACGAGATGCACGTTTTTGGATTGGGTTCATTCATGTTTCAGTTTTTTATTTATTTATTTAATTTTCAACATTTGAATCGTTTTTAAACTTGTTTTTTGCCAAGAGGTTAAATGGTTTTTAAAACCAATTTCGTTGCTCTTAAAACCAGATTTTTACTAGGCTTGAATATTTGAAGTCGGGCCGAGCCTGGACTAATACAAAGTCTGCGGGCCTGAGAAAGAATGAAGCCCATCTGTATGATCGATGGCAAAGCAACATTTCTCCTAGACCAGCCCATTGCACTTCTAGTACAATGCAAGTACCTCTAATCACTATTTTAGTCCACTTATTTTATTGCTTAAAGCCCACCAAATCATTTCCAAAAATCATTTTTATTGCCAAAATCCTGATTGTTTTAATAAGGGTAAATTACAATTTTCATTCTAAAATTTCAGCTGAATTTCACTTTGATCCGTTATCTTTAATTTGCAACAATTAAGTTCTCAAAATAAATATATTATATAGTGATAGAAAAAATATATACTTGATGGCTAATCACATTTAGGCCCAATATTTTGTAATAATACTAAGACAATCACATTTAAGTATTATATTTGAGGACCATCCAAATCATCTGATTGGTCCTATTATTTATCTAAACAACATTAACAATAAAAAAGTTTTACATAATTTAATGAAGAAGGGAGGCATGCCTTAACACTGTCATTCACTCTATTATACGTTTTAGTTATAAAGTTAAAAAAATATTATAAATTATCAGATCAATCTCTTTATTTTTTTACATATTTTTTTTATAAAAAATTAAAAAATTACTAAAATAGTCCTGTTCAAATTCTCTTCCTTTTAACTTGCAATCACCACTTTTGCTTTTGTAGATTTATGGGACATTTGCCATCGGTTTGTTAAAATTTTCTTCACTCAAATTTTATAAAGCTGACCCTCGTTTGAGATAAAATAATTTAATTTGACTTTTTAATTAATTTAATCTGATTAAAAAAATTATATTTGGAATATATTTTAATTTTTTTATATTTAATTTGATAATTGTGAGAAAAATTAAATAATTATAATTTAGATGTGATGTTTTATCTTATTAATTAAATTAATATGTTTTATCTTTATTGACTAATTTAATCAAAATAGCTCAGCGTAAGGAAGCCTCCCAAACACGGCCCATGTATAGGTCAGGGTAAAGTATGAAAGTAATCTTGACCTTAACAAAACAATACAAAAACAACCTAATTTTAACATTTTGCTTTAGACCACACATATGGTTGAGCCGTCCCTGAATGATAATATCACGTAACTGTATTACCATTCAATGAGTATAATTAATTTGCGATAAGATCATAATATTATTGGGTTAATGAAAAATAAAATTAACCATTTAATGCATTTATAGTTTAAAATTTACTGATAACAGGGTGACATTGTTAAGCTCAATATTTTTTTTTGCAAATGATGCCCCATTGACGACTTTTAGGCCTTCATTAGGTTTTAAGCTTTGTGAAGCTACTGAATAATTAGCCAACAGATCGTTGGCATCCATGAATATTTATTGAGTCTTTTACTTCTAACTATTTAATAAAAGTGGATTAGTATGCTCTACTCATAAAAATTTTTAACCACATGATTGATATATAGTACCATTTAGATATTCTGAAATTACAAAATAATTAATTTACCGACAATTAGATTGATATTGCTCTTCTCATGGTTACAAGTTAAAATGATAGAAAGAGATAATTAACCGCCCAACTTTTTATCATACGATATTGTTATTTGTAATAACAATGTCATACAACATATCATTATTTGTAGATAATCTATCAATTTATTTGTAATAAAGTTTGTAAAATTATTTTAGTAGTGTAACATTTTCTGGCTTTTAATTACAAAATGTCGCCATTATATCACTCTGAATATATATATTGAAAAAACAAATTTGTAGAAAAAAATAGCAATTTGCTCAATTCAATTAGAAGCATAAAATCTTATTTTCAAAGCATTTTCTCAGTCTAAATACAAAACACTAGAACCGGCATAACGAGATGCACGTTTTTGGATTGGGTTCATGATTTTTTTAAAAAAATTATAAAAATTAATTTTTATAATATATTTTATTTTTTTTATAATTACTGTCAGGTTATTTCTCCACACAAAAAACAAAAAAAAAACAAAAAAAAGAAAAAACACCAAAACTCATAAATGGAAAATATTTTTCTAGCCACCATGTCACTGATGATTATTATTAGCATCTTCTTGGACCATATTCCCATATCCTCTCCTCTATCCATAACCATACAGGCATGCAAAAAATAAAATGACCAATATGACCATCAACAAACAATCCTATACTTAGGAATACCAAATGGCATATTTGTCATTTCACTATTAAAAGTCCTCCAACACGACCCCCACGTGTCCATCTACCCTAATCCAACCTCCCCTCTACTTTTCGGAAAAAACAAATCAACCCCAAAACTAAACAAAAATCAAAAAACAACCCAGGAAATGAAGATACTTTACTTTCCACCCCCTCTGCTGATCATATCCTTGTACCTTATAATGGAGTCCAGCCTCTGCAACTTCAACTGTTGCTTGAACCTGTTGATGAAATCATCAGCCTTCGCATCAACCTGTTCATCTTCTACAGCCTCCGTCGAGACTCTACCCTCCTTCACCGTCGCCGGACGGCGAGCCTCCACGATTTCGTCCTCCTCGAAGTGCGCGAAAGTCGATTTCGCACTCGCCGACTTCCGAATCTTCGCCGGAAGCTTCTCCGGCAACCCGCCGGAGGCCGGGTTGGTGTCGGAGTTGGTCCTGTTCACGTGATGATGGTAGACCTGGTCTAGACTCCTGGAATAATCTTCTTCGAAATGGGTTTGTTGCGAATTTTGATGGGTCTCTGATTTGGGGGATTCTGAATCTGGGTTTTGGTTTGGACTGAAGTCTTGAGATCTGGAAGTGTAGAGGTTGTTGATAGACCTGAGGCGCTGAAGAACCGAAGGGGATTTGGGTAGTATGGGGTGGTCTGGGTTTTGTTGTTGTTGTGGGTGTTTTTGGTTTGCTGAGCTTGAAATGAAGAGAATGGTGCCAATCATGATGTTGAGGAGGAAGAAGAAAACAGTGGGTGTGAACCAGCTGTTCATGGAGGACCAGATTGAAGGTATGGAGGATCCAGACTCTGCAAACATGGTGCTTTAGAGAGAGAGAGAGAGAAAGAAAGGGGGTGTTATGCTTTGCAATCTGCAGTCGGAGGGGGGGGGTTCCAAAGAGTGAGAGATGGGTCTTTTCTTTTCAAATTTTATTGAAGTGTTTTAGTTTTTGGAATGATTTAAATAAGTGTATTTTTTATCTTTTTGTGAAAATATATACAGAAAAGTAGAGAAGTGATGTGATGAAAAAAAAATAAAAAAATTGATTATTTTGTAGTAGCCAAACTTGGCCTATTTTTCTCTACATGTTAAAAGTCAGTTTTTTATTTTATTTTATAAATTATATAGATTTTTTTGAAAAAACAGTTTTTTAAGTTTTAATTTATATTTTAAATTCTAGTTAAAATGTGAATATTTGTTTCTAGTTTTTAAAAAATACTTTTTAGAAAATTCTACTTTCTTATTCTTCGTATTTTTTTTTGTTTTTACTGAATTTTTTTAATATTTTAAGCAATTTTTTTACTTTTTAGACACACCGAACATAAATACACCTAAAAAGTAAAAAAAAATGTAAAAAAAAATTTTAAAAATTCACTAAATATCAAAAATATAAAAAAAATACAAGAATTCAGTATATTTTTTATATTTTTTATGTATTTATTAATTTTTTAAAATATTTTTTTACAAATTTTTTACTTTTTAGATAGATCTAAGTAAGGTGCATCTAAAAAAGTAAAAAAAATATTTAAAATTTTAAAAATATTCACTAAAATCAAAAAAATACGAAAATCAAAAAAGTCAATTTTCAAAAAACTTAATCCAAAAAACTCCAACCAAACACACTAAATGATTTTAAATAAATTTTTTTAATACATCAGAGCATAATGTTGTAAACAAAATCATATAATCAATAATATATCAGACATTAGTGGTACATATGAGCACAATTTTATGAGATAATTTGGGAAGCTAGCTAAAAGTTAGCTTTTAACTTTTAATTCATTTTAAATCATATCACTTTTACATTTGTTTTATACACAAAAGAATAAAAAAAAAAAAATCAAAAAATTAACTTTTAACCAACTTCTCAAATTATCCCTATATTTGGAAAGAGTAGGTTTTAGTCCAAAAAAAAATTTATTATAAATTATTTCTTTACCTTTTTATATGCTTTTTTTATAGCGAAATTGAATTTAGACATGAGAAAATTTTGATATTACAATTGTGTTCGATAAGTTTAGTGACTTACTTAACAATTTTACAATTTTGGATTGAATTTTACACAGTAATTCTTTAATTTCATTTAAGTTGTACTATAATAGTAAGTTTGATGAAAGAAATATTATATAAAAGGTTTGTGAAGAGTCTTTACTTTTGAATTATATATCTGTCGTTATAGCAATGCAGCAAAAAACTACGGTAGTGTTTGGTAGAGTTTTGTAAATGTGATTTGAGAGTATGAGTTGTATTTTGAGTTTGTGTGTTGTGGAATTATGATTTGAGTGTAGAAAATTTGTTTGGTAAAGAGTTTTGAAAATAGTTTTGGAAAAGAGGTTTGATTTGAGTGGGAAATTATTGATGTGACATTTGATATATGATACAAAAATTTACAACTCATAACTAAACATACAATTCAAAATTATTTTAAAGCACATAAAAAATTTAAAAATTTTCAGAAAATATTTGTCCCGATTATATAAATCAATTGCAAAAAAAAAAAAAAAAAAAAAAAAAAAATCTGGAACCAGCCGGACATCCGGGTGGTCATCCGGGTGGTCTACCGGGTGGTCATCCGGGTGGACAAAAAAGGCGCCTGTGCATCAGAGTTCTCTCTGCAGAGTGTAGAAAATTAATTTGAAAACGAAACCAAACATCATACTCCAACACACAGGTAGAAAACTAATTTCAAAGCACAACCAAACAGAGCCTACATTTTTATCAACTTCCCAAAAACACTAACCCTTGCAAATCTCATTTGGGAAGATTCAAAAAAGTCACTTACAAATTTATCAAATTATCCTCTGGAACATTATAATTAATTAATTTAAAAAATTGTTGAGATGCAAAAAGTAAGGATATTTTGGTCATTTTAGAGTGATGTGACACTTTTAAAAAATATTAAACCAAAAAATAGAAAAGTCAATTTTTTATCAACTTCCTAAATCACTTCCAAAAAAAGCAAAAAACTTGATAAAAAGCCAAAAATCAGCTTTTTACCAACTTCCGAAGACACCCATATAGTAAAATATCACAAATTAATCAAAGAATGAAAAATGTTCATAAAACATTTTATAATATTTTTTTTCATAAAATTTAACATGAAAAATGTTCATAAAACATTTTATAATATTTTTTTTCATAAAATTTAACATTCTTTTTAATTTTTTTGTTTGAAAATGATAAAAAATAATAATTTATATTTTAATTACATTTACATCATCTTTTATTTCTTTTTTTTTTAATTCTTATTTAAATTTATGATTCAATCATATTACATTTTTTTTAATTTTTAATTTTTATTTTTATTTTTTAATGATAATGGATTTAGACACTAAGGTGGTATTTGTTTTGAGGGATTGAGGGGTGGGATTGGACTATTAGTCCATCTGGACTAATAGTTCGTTGTTTGGTTCAAAAATTTTGCACCGGACTATTAATATGAGTTGGGTTTGGGTTGGATTTGAAGTGATGCGGTAGAGAGGTGATGTGATTCAAATAAGATGATGTGACTTAAATAGGATAGTGATTTTTTGACTTTTTTACTTTTTTAGGAGATGACAAACACGGCTTTAGTCCCAAATCCATTGGACTATTGTGGGGGTGTTTGTTTCAGCTTTTCAGGGCCAACTTATGGCTTTTAGCTTTGAAAAAGTTCTTTTGGACTGTTTGGTTAAACTTATTTCAAACAGTTTATGATTCTAACAGCTTATTTTAACCCAAAAAAGCTGATTCTGAGAAACTGCTCACCCCTTGCTTCTGATTATCAGTTTCTGCTGTGGACATGTTAATTTATGGTTATACTCTTAAATTTTTTTATTTTTTTATTTTTTTTTAAAAAATAGAAAGAGACTCAAATGGATTATAGATTATTATTATTATATTTTATGAGAAATGTAGACAAACAAAAAATAAAAATTAATTGAAAAAGCTATTTCACAGCTTATTTAACAAATACTACTCAGCAACTTAAATTTATAATCTAACAGTTACACCAAACAGATTAACAACTTCTGATTAAAGTCATAATCAATAATCTGTTAAGCTATAATCTATAAACTGTTTTAACAGCTACACCAAACAGGGTGTCCCATGGGGGGTGGGACACAAATAAAGGGTTAAGAGGGGATACGAGATTAGGTGGTAAAATGACCATTTTAACCCTCTACTATTTAATTATGTATTATATTTAGTAAAATTCAACAAAATTCAAATGTTTCAATTTAAAAATAAAAAAATTTTATTTATTTTTTATTGATGTTTTATTTATTTAATTTTTTAAAATAATTTTTTTATAGATATTTTATTAATGTTTTTTTAAAATTTTATTTAATTTCATTATTTCAATTTTAATAGATGCACCAATAAATCCCAAATTAATAACTTATGCACTGTTTAGTCCTAAAAGTTTTCTTATAAACTGAAAGGTCCCATTACAATGTTAATAACATCAGATACAATGTTAATAACATCAGAGTCATGTTACAAACATTGGATTTCAAACATCTAATGTTCATCAAATTTCAATAATGTTTGAAAATATAGGATGAAAAACATCTAATGTTCATCAAATTTCAATAATGTTTGAAAATATAGGATGAAAAACATCTAATGTTCATCAAATTTCAATAATGTTTGAAAATATAGGATGAAAAACATCTAATGTTCATCAAATTTCAATAATGTTTGAAAATATAGGATGAAAAACATCTAATGTTCATCAAATTTCAATAATGTTTGAAAATATAGGATGAAAAACATCTAATGTTCATCATTAAAAATATGTTTAATATTACTATTACTTAGTAAATAATTGAAAAGGGTAAAATAGTTATTTAAAAATTTATCCTGCTCCATAATATCCAAAACAAACATAGGATTCTTATCCTAACCTATCAAATAGTCATTTCCTGACATTTAATTTCATGACTAAACAAATATGAGATACAAATCCAGTCCAACTAAATGGTTCGGAAATAATATATTCCAAGACTAATAATTTGGTAAATTTCAATATTCTCTTATACAATCCCTCCAAACACGCAGCCTAAATTGATTAATCATTTATATTTGTTTCATAGACTATGGGGTGGTTTGAAATGTCTTAAATAAGTGTACTTTTTGACTTTTTATAAAAAAATATATAAAAAAGTAGAGATAATATGTTGATTGATGTGATTCAAAAAAGATAAAAAAATGAACTAAAATAAGTTATGCCAAACAAGGCTTATAAGTACATTTTTATATTTACTAAAATCTATTCATCCGATTTAAAAAATCTAACCAATGGCAACCTATTAGTTTGATTTAGGGTTGGTTTGGCAAGTTTTAAAAAAATTAAAAAGTCAAAAAGTCACTATCCACATCATCTCTCTAACAAATCACTTCAACCCCAACCCAAATTCAACCCATATTTCATAAAAATTCAAAAAGTACACTTATTTAGATCAGTCCAAACAATCCCTTAATTTAATATTATTGGATTTTTTATTTAAATTTAAAAACAAATGGATTGTTTAGGATGTTCTAAATAAGTACACTTTTTGATTTTTTATGAAATATGAATTGGATTTGAAGTGATGTGGTAGAAAGATGATTTGACTAAGATAGTGACTTTTTGACTTTTTAACTTTTTTAAGAGATGTCAAACCTAAACAAAACAAAATTTTAAAATATATTTGTATATCATGCTTTCACATAATTTAAAAATAAATAATTAATTTTTTAAAATAAATTTAAATTAATATATATGATGATTAGAGAGTCGTCTTATAGAATTATGATTTTGAAAACTCATCACCAAACAAATTTTCTTATGCAAAGGAAGTCATCCGACTGGCAGCCCTATTTCAGAACTGTAGATTACTCCAAGTTAGCCGAGATGACAACACCCACGCCGACGCGTTAGCT